CTGCAGCCTCCACAACACCCACTCGGTGGTCTTTCTCTTCCACTCTCTTGTGCCTCCTCTTCTTCTTTCCCCTCAGCCTCTGCCTCAGAGACACCTCAAACTCAGGCCGCATCTCATTTGCAGTTGTGAAAACTGAGATAGGTAATTAGGAAAGATACAACATCTGCACCTCAGCCATGGACTTGCAAATGAAACCTTACAACCAGCCCCCTGCCTGGACAGCTTTGTATGGATTAGGAATCATTGTCAAGAAAAGGGACCCCTGCTTGTTAGCTTGAGCTGCTAAAATAGGGATTTATTGGAAGAATATAAACTAACTCTTCCAGCAGTCTGTGACCTACTTTGGACATGTGATCAGGAGGGACCAGCCGCTGGAGAAGGACATTATACTTGCTAAAGTAGAGGGCCAGCTAACAAGGGGGGGACCCTCAGTGAGATGGCCTGGCACACTGGCGGAGGGAATAAGCCCAGCAGAGATGGAGGTGGGGCAGGTTTCGTGTGTAGGCCACAGGGTTGCTGTGAGCATGTGGACATGACAGCATCTAACAACAGCAGTAACAACACAGTGTACCTGACAACAACAGCAGCAACACTTAGGGCTCCAGGGTTGCCTTGATGCTGTGTTAATTTTTGCAAGAAAATGACTGATGCATCTCAACTACATTCATTTTTATTTCTTCCAATTTTCCTCAATGATTTTAATTGCTACTAATTCCTTCAGAACCAGTGTCAAAAAAAAAAGCACACGATCTCCAGATACATTGTTATCTGTGTAAGGAGAGGAGAGTGGGAACCAACCTGTTGGGTGTTTTGTTGTTTAGGGTTTTTTTTAATGAGAAATAAAACCAAAGCCAAACCCACTGCCATCAAACTGATTCAGCTCCCAGGGACCCGGCAGGACAGAGGAGAACTGACCCGCAGGGTTTCCAGGGCCGTGACCCTTACAGAGCAGCTGCCTCATCTCTCCCCACAGAATTGCTGCTAACAGTTTCCAAACACAAGCCCAGTCCCTGCCATCAGGTTCATTCCAACTCATGGGGACCCTGGTGAACAGAGCGGAACTGCCCCTTAGGGCTCTGACGCTCAAGGAGGCGCTCTTGTGGAGCAGTGCGCAGGGAGGTGCACTGTGAACCCGAAGGCAGCGCCTCTCTGACAGTTCTAAGTAACCAGCGCTCCATGGGACAAAGATGAACCATCTCAAATGTGATTTCCAACCTCCCAGAAACCCACTGGAGGGTCAGCTACATATGTACCCATTGGTGTACAGTAATTATCCCCATGATGAAAACGAAGACGTTCCTCCAGCTTGTCATCAGGCCCTTGAACTTGGGACTTGCCCCCCTTACAACATCCTGAGTCATTTCCTTGAGATCAGTCTCTTATTTACATACTTCTTCCTCGCCTCTCTTCTGCTGATTCTTCTTTTCCAAGCACGATGTCCTGAGGACTCTTAGTAACATAAACAAAAGTATGTGAGATTCTATCTCACCATCTCAGCCTCCTGGGATTGCCCTTTGCTGCCCTCACTCCAGAATGAGATCTGATACGATGACATAAAGGAGAGGAAGACCCTCAAGGAAATGCATTAACTCAGTGCCTCTGACTGACACAATTGGAGATTGTGAGAATGGAGGAAGATGGGGAGTGGGTTAAACTGTTAGACAAAGGGATTGCTAAGGACCAGAGTCAATGCATAGACCCCCAGTGACACAGCACGATGTGCATTGATATGTAAGCCCCACTAATTTTGTTTCTCTGGAGAACCCAGCCTAAGGCACACTTGGAACAAGGACAATCTCCGTCTGCATCCACCCACCTCCTGTAAATGCAAAAGTATACAGGAGAAGGTGGCTGACGTCAAGAACCGGGGGACATACCAAGGTGGGGTGGGGAGTTACCCAGACGACACCTCAGCTGCTGGTGCCCAGCCAGATCCTACTGGGCGGGAGGACTCGTGCAATTCCGGGGAGAGTGCTTTGTAGACCTGTGGGCGTGCAGCTGCTTCCAGCTGCTTTACCGTTCTCACCACCTTAACCGAACGCCCCAGGACCTCAGAACCTTTAGGGGTTGCTTCTTGAGCCAAGTGCTTCACGATTCCTTCTTTTTACGAGGTGTAAATACCTTCTCCCTACCTTTACATAATTTGTTTTTGGCCACTTCTGTGCTATGGGACCTCATAGTCCCATGTCTTCCTAAGGTAAAGAGTATCTCCCCACCCTTACACGACGTGTTATTGGCCACCATTGCTCCAGCGCCACAAGCAGTTGAGGATCAGACTGCTACGATCAACAGGATTGTCAGTGGCTCCTTTCAGAAGTAGATTGCCAGGCCTTTTTTCTCAATCTCTCTTCACCTAAAAGCTCCTTTGAAGCTCATGCAGTGTCCTGCTGTTTGAAGTAACACACAAGCCTCCACTGACAGATGGGTGGTAGCTGCACATGACAGACATCCGCTGGAATCAAACCTAGGTTGCCTGCTTGGAAGGCAAGAGTTTTACCACAGACCCAGCACGGCCCACTACAAAGTGTGACTCCTGACATACCTCAGAGAGGCCTCAGGTTAGGTCCCAGCACACTCCCAAAGAGCAGATAAAGCATTTGAGCAAGTGGCAACAATATTTCAGTTTCCCAGTGCAGGTTGTGTTTACAGTTCATTGAAGCCCATTGAGGGAGTTCAGGTGGCTTAGTCTGCAGAGAGTTGCAATGCCAGTGTGAAAGCTGTCCGACCCGTGGCTCCATGGGAGAAAGACGGGCAGTCTCCTCTTGTGTGATTTACAGCCTCCGAAACTCAGTGGAGGGCCTGCTTTAATCAGCTCTCACTCTCCAGCAGTGAGTTAGAATGAGTGAGTCTAGCAGTGCTCTGGTGGCCTGGTGGGTGAAGAGTTGAGCTGCCAACCCAAAGGCAGGTGGTTGGAGTTCAGCTGCTACTTAGGAGAAAGACTGGCTGTCTCCCCCTGTGGGATTTTTAGCCTTTGAAAACCCGCTGGAAGGTGAGCTATGGGCTGGTTCCAACACCAGAGTTGGATAGTCTGTTACAGAGCAGTGGCATTATGGGAAAGTTTGAATCTTTCATGAAGGACCCAAATGGGACATGGACCGGAAGTGAGGACACAGACCGGAAGTAAGGACTTGCTGTAGGAGAGTGCTTCAAGGGGCTTGCTCCACGCCAGGTTGCTATAGACTTAACAGCACAGTATCTGTGAATCAAAACAGGGTGAGGTCTGCCTGTAGTTCCTTTTCATCCAAACCCTTTGGAGGAGTAGGGTCATGGGTTTGACTTTTTGGCCTTTTTTTTTTTAAACTTTCCCAGGAGGATCAGAGAGACACATCACTTCCCATCATACCAACAGATGCCTCAGCTCCTTCATTCTTCTGTGTTTTTACTCAAATAAAATCTAGTCAGTAGGTTTGTTACATAGAAGATGAAAAGAGCAAAATGTGCATGATGCCTGGGCAGTGGGCGTTTGGGGGTCTCTGTGCACCGACAGTGGAGGTATGCTCAATAAAATCCAGGAGCCTTCCATCCTGGAGATGTGCCTTTTAGAGTTAAAATAGGAAAGAAGGGGGGTGCCTCACCTCTAAAGGCTAAATAAACGTACTAGTTCTAAGATGAACCTCATCCTGAAAAGGAAAAATACGAGATCTTGCGTGAAGCACATAAAGTTGCCATAAGGAAATGGTTACGTAAGTTTAGGGTGATAAACTGCGTTCCTTCTGGCAGCTGCTAGCAGGCACTGCGGATTTTGCATGAAAATGTAATTAACAGGGATCTGTGCAAATCCAGCTCTGAAAGTGAGGGCGACTTCCCAGCAGCTCCTCCACACATTGGGGTTTGGTGGTGGTCCAACAGCAAACTATAGGGCAGAGTAGAGCTGTCCTGTAGGGGGTCCCAGGCTGCCAGCCCCTATGGAGGAAGATTCCTCATCCCCTCCCACAGAGCGGCCAGTGGATTCGAACCTCTGACCCAGAGTAGCCTAGTGTTACCCTTTCACCACCTGGACTTCTAAGAATGGGCTGATCAGACCAACCACACTCACTGTCGCCAAGTGCATTCCGGCTCAGTGCGGTCCTCCATCTGATGAGGGAAGACTGCCCATCCTTCCTTCCCCCTACGAGCTGCTGTGGGTTCCAGCCACTGACCTTTTGCTTAGCAGAGCAACACATAAACACACTGCACCACCAGGGCTCCTGGGATGAGTCAGTGCACATACACTGGAGACTCACCACAGCATTCTGGGAAAGCCCTGCAGGGACACACAGGGCCCAGGAGGTGCAAGCAGTTTACATGCAAGTCCGCCCAGAGGAACCTTGGTGGGAAGGCCTGGCATTGCCCTGAACACAGCCCCTGAATGGAGCACATTGCTCACTGACACAGGCTTCAGAGCATGCAACAGTGTGGATATGGACAGGAGGATCGGGCCTAGATCTTAAAGACTTTATATTGAACACCATGGATGGCTCTGTGGCTTTTAGGTGCCTTTTCGCACAGGGTCTGTCTGCCTTTTTTATAAGACACAGCTCACGGACTAGGAACAGGAACCCATTCCTCTATGGCTTCACTGACTTCAAAGGAAGACCCCATTCCAGCCTGGTCACAACCCATTTCCAGACTGAGATCAGCAGAGCTGAGACACACACCCCACACACCCCACCAAGGCAGAGCTTGATGAGGAGGGTCTGCTCTATGGCCCATTTGCCTATATCCCTCATTTATGAGACCCAAGTCTATGTCACCAGGGTGTGAGAGCATACACACCTTGTAAGTGTGCATCTTCATGGGTCTCTGTGTGTGTCTGTACTTGTCTCCGTGTGTCTGTGTCGTAAGTCTGTCCAGGACTGCGTGTGTTTGTGTGTGTGTGTGTGTGTGTGTGTGTGTGTGTGTGTGTGGTGTAGCGTAGCTCTGTGTGTATATGCATTGTGAGTTTGTGTGTCTCTTCCTCTGTGTGTATGTCTGTGTGACCACTGCAGGAAGCCCTGATGAAGCTGCCCTTGGTCTTGCAGGAGGCAGAAATTCTGAACACGGCCGTGCTCACGGGGAAGACGGTGGCCGTGCCGGTGAGGGTGGTGGCCGTGGACGAGGACGGCGAGGTGACGGAGCTGCTGGACTCAGTGCAGTGCAGATCCTCAGATGAAGACACCATCAAGGCAGGTTGTCCCCCTACTCCGCCGAAACCCCCTTTCCCCACAAGACCACTATTGAGTAGCCCTGATGCTCTCTGACATCAGGGCCGTATCCTGTTCTGGTCACCCCACTGTTGAGTGGAGACACCGTCCCTGCACAAGACCAGAGCGGGTCAGCAGACCCTGGATCCCGTGGGATTGAGACACAGAGCCTTTGTCCTCTCTCCTGGGAGGTCATGGTGGGATTGGTCCTACGTCCGGTGTATAGTGTGCTTTACTGTTAAACCTGGTGGTTAGCTTGAATTTACCAATGACTCCATGAAAGAGAGATAGGCCTTCTCCTCTTGCTTGACTTCATACCCTGGGAGGCATGATCCTTTTTAGTGGGAGCTGACCCACTACCACAATGAGTGGCCCGCCCTGCCCAGCCCAGACTGCAAAATAGGGAGCAGCAACTGGGCCAGTAGATGGGGTGGGGGGCTGCTATGCTAGGAGGATCCTGTACACAAAGTCTCTTTGTCAGACCTGTGTGGTCAGAGCATATGCCACACCTCCAGTTATGGTCCTGGTCATGGCTTACAGAGCATATGGTCACCTCAGCCCTGATCACTGTCTGGTCATGAGGTACAGAGAACAAGGTCACTGTCCCACTCATGGGGTACAAAGCACAGGGTCAATTCAGCATTGGTCACTGTCTGGTCATGGGGTACAGAGAACAAGGTCACCTCAGCCCTGATCACTGTCCCAGTCATGGGGTATAGAGCACAGGGTCAATTCAGCCCTGGTCACTGTCCCAGTCATGGGGTACAGAGCACAGGGTCTTGTGAGTCCTGGTCACCATCCTGGTCAACATGAACCAGAAGAAAGCGTCTTCTTGCCCACAGACCCCTGGCCCTAGGGACCTTACCTTCTCCAGCGACTCCACTTCCCTCCTCGCCCTTCTTCCCTCTTCACACTGAGCTTGAGAAAAATTCACAAAGCACTGGGGGACGTGTTGGGACGGGGACATGAGCGTCCCTCTGCCAGGAGCCGTGTGACACGCTGCCAGGTGGCAGGAGGAAGTGGGGTTTGTCAGCCGCTGCCACCCACCAGATACAGAGCTGGAAGACAAATGCCATAGAGTCCCCTCTCGCCCCCATGCTCTGGTGAGACACGCTAAACTTCTGTCCTTGCTGTCCCCTGGGCGGTCAGTTGTTGGTCACCTGTGTGCCGCTTTTCGCTTGGTGAAGGACTTTCTGCAGAGCCAAGTCACATACACGTGCTCGTTAACACCAATCTGTAGCTGCCTTCTCTTTGCAGGGGTGGGTCAGTGGTGGAAATTTCTGGAAATGAAAATCAAAACTGCTGTTTTGGTCATTTTTATCCTTAACACGTCGTTGCCTCACACTTTTAAATTGACGACCGTGCTTAGAAACACATTTCCCATCATTGGCGGCAATGTGTTAAAAACCCAGTGTTGTCGAGTCAGCTGGGATTTACAGCCACCCCGCAGGACAGAGCAGACAGCCCTATAGGGTCCCCATGGCTGTCATCTTTATGAAGACAGCCTCGTCTCTCCTGTTCAGTCAGTGGCTGGTGGGTTTGAACCACTAACCTTTCAGGTAGCAGGCTAATGCTTAACCACTGTACCACCAGGTATTCTTTTTATCCTTAAAATCCCAAAACCCATCCCCACTGCTGTCCAGTTGATTCAGACCCACAGTGACCCTCTGTCAGTTTCTGAGGCTGTAAATCTTTGTGGGAGGGCACAGCTCATCTTTTCCTGAGAGCGGCTGGTGGACTTGAACCCACCACCTGCCAGGTAGCTGTGCAGCCTTTAACACACCACACAGCTGGCAGTCCTCACTGATGGTCCAGTGACTGCTCATCAGGAGACACTCAGCCCCTGGCTTCTGGTCCCCTTCCAGCCGCTCTGCCTCTGTCACATCAGGAAACAGATGGAGAGGCCCTGGTGGGCCTTTCTTTCTCACTTTTCACTGTCCCCGCCTGATGTAGGGCTTTCGAGGCTGGACAATAGATGCGGACAAAGGAGCCTCTGAAGAGGGGCTCTCGCTGTGGTGGTTTTGCCTGTCCTCAGAACTGAGCTCGTGGTGGGGGAATGGGGTGCTGTGACTGCTACTCTCAGAACACTGACCCTCAGACATCTGGATGGACGAGACCGGTCAGGGTGGAGGAATTAAGAGTCTTGGGGAAAACCCACTGCCACCGAGTCAGTCTCACAGGAGGAGACTGCCCGTCTTTCTTCTGCGGAACACCTGGTGAATTAGAGCTATTAACGTCAAGGTTAGCAGCCCAGAGTTGAATGTCCTGTGCTGCAGGGTCTCCTTCAAAACTAAACCCACTGCCACCAGAGTCAATTAGAACTCATGGTGACATTCCGTCGGGTTTCTGGGGCTGTCAGCCTTTCCAGGAAGGAGGCTGCCTATTTTTCTCCAGCAGTGGATTTGAACAACCAGCCTTTTGGTTAACAGTCGAACACTTTATGCACTATGCCACCAGGGCTCCTCTCTCGCCCCTATATCCTGTTCCTCAGCATAAGTTACGGATTATGTTGTCATCATCATCTGTCATGGAGGCCCTTCCGCTTTATGGTGACCCCAGTGTGACAGAGTAGAGCTGAGCTCCAGAGAGTTCCAGGGGGCTTGTCTGGGGTCCCTGCCATCTTTCCGCATGTAGCACACCCACACAGACAGCATGCTTGTTCCTGTAGCCTGCAAAGTGTGCACAGGAGGCTATCATGCAGGGGTGTGCAGTCTGCAAAAACACAATGTTCATGGCAGCATTATTCACCACCACAAGAACATGGAAACAGCCCAGACATCCAACCACAAGCAAATGGATTGAGAAATTATGGTACATTCACACAATGGAGTACTATGCAGCACGCAGGAGCAATGATTTTGTAAATTATTACCTAACTTGGGAGGGACTAGAAAGCATTATGCTAAGTGAACCAACTCAGTCACACAAGGACAAATATTGTATAAAACCATTATTGTAGAATGAGTATGAGGATCCAAGAGGATGGGGGTGAGTGGAAGCAGAGGGGTGAGGATGTGCAGGGGCGGGGGTATTAATCAAGGGGTTGTACAATTTGATGGCTGAGGGAGTGAGGGAAATTAGAAGAATCTGTTCTCAAAAACAGTATATTCTAATTTTACAAGTAAACTAGTATAAAATAATTTTTTTTTAAAAAAAAAAGGTCTAATCAATGCCGCCCCTGCATTGTACATGTTCATAGATCACCAGCCTTTCTTACCAGCTTCTCTGGGTGGGCTTGAACTTCTGGCCTCTCAGTCATCATCTTTACATCATCTGGGTCTCTCTGCTTGTGGCTAGAATACAATTCCCAGGAGGAAGCTGCCATGTCTTTCGTTCATGCAGCAGCTGGTGGATTCAGTTGCTGGTGTCTGGATTAGCAAGCAGCCCAGCATGTACCTAGCAAACCCCCAGGACCCTCTTGGGTGGAATGTAACTTAATCAGTTTTCCACACTGAGCTGTTTTTGAGACTAAAAGGGAAACTGTACTAATGACTATGGGGTGAAGCTCACCAGGAGGAACAGCCCCCCATCACCCCGTGTGGCCCAAGGGGGCAGCTTCCTCAGCAGCTGGGTCTGATGTGTAGAGGGAATGTTCTGGGCACAGAGATAAATTAGGCCAGGGCCTTGATGTGCTCTCTGCAGCTCAGGGACCCTGAGGCAGTGTCACCGAGCAGTAACCTGCAGTTCACGCCATTTCCAAAGCAAATGTTATCCCCAAAGCAGGAGTTAGAACACAGGGCGTTCTGGAGGGCGCGGGCAGGGGGCAGGAGGCAGACCTGGTCTGCACCGAGGGAGCATCAAGGCCCAGGTAGAGGGGCGCAGGTTCACCAGCCTACACCACACACAAGGCCTCTCCGTGCAGAGAGAGACTGCCTTCCTGTCAATCAGTGGCTGTCACTGTGTGTCCGTGGGCTGGTTCTGACTCACAGGGACCCTGTGTGGTAAAACAGAGTGGCCCCCACAGGCTTCCTGGCTGCAGTCTTTACAGGAATGGACTCCCAGGACTTCTCTCCTGGGGGCTATTGGGTGGCTTTAAACTGTCAACCTCACAGTTCGTAATTGTCATTGGGAATATGAGCAGGAAAACAGTAGCACAGCCATTTCCACACACAGCTCAAGTGGCATGATTGTTCACTTTCTTTTTCTAGGTGGTTCCCAGTCCCATTCGAATAAACTCACCAGACTTCCCAGCTAACCTAGAGTTGTTATTGTCAGTTTGAACCCAAAAGACATGGGGAAATTTGTTATCAAGGATCTCTCCAGAGTGTTTAAGAGCAAGGATGTCAATTCAGAGACTAAGGTGTACTCAATCTGAGCCAGGCTATCTTCCGTTTCTTTCTGTGCATCTGAAAATGAGACAGACATAAGGGTGAGAGAAGAGTTGATGTGTGTGAGTTGCAGTATTAGAGAACAGTACTCAGTATCCCATGGATGGCCAAAAGAACAAGCAAATCTGACTTGGAGGGAGTACAAGATCCCACCTTAGATGCCACAGTGGTAAAACTCTGACTCACATACTTTGGGCATGTCAAGAGAAGCCAGTCCTAGAGAAAGGGCATTCTTGCTGGGAAAGGTCAGAGGAAGAGAGTAATCCCTCAACAAGATGGATCAACACAGGGACTGTAACAAAGGCTCAAGCTTATCAGAGACGAAGAAGACAGCAAAGCATCGGGTAAGGTTCATACCTGTCGTTCATAGGGTCGCTGTGAGTCGTAGTTGACTCCCTGACCCCACACAGCAATATAAACTATTGCAGTTCTCTATACAGACTGTCTTTACTAATCAACATGGTGCAGTGAGTTATGTGAAATGCTGCCAACCGAAAGGTCAGCGGTGTGAGTCCACCAGCTCAGCAGGAGATGAATGGGCAGTCTCTGCCCATAAAGATTTACAGTTTCAGAAACCCAGTTCAGGGTCACTGTGGGTTGAGATCTACTTGGTAGCAGTGGGTATTGTTTAGTGTAAAGACAACTTCAGATGAT